AGAGAGAGAAAGCTAACCTTGCTCGACGCAACTTCTGGTGTGGAGGACAGGAAGGCGGGTGGGGAGGCGGTTACTGCTTAGAGGGAGAGTCCCCCTCCCTACAGGAAGCTGTGACCACATGTCATGGGAGGGAAAATGGCCGCGGATCCTGTTCGTCACCCGATGCGGAGTTCATGAACAGAGGCAAAATTTTGCGACCGGAGCTGTTTGTGAACTGAATATCCGTGAACAGAAGCGTTCGTGAACCGAGGTACCACTGTACAACACTTCCCTGTAGGGTCATCTGTTCTTTCCTTATATGGACCCTCCCAAGAAATATTCAGACTTCCTGTTTGTGGGGAAGACACCCGTCAGTCCCTAGAGAGAAATTTCACTTCACCTAACTTAATTCTGACTCTTTATCTTGAAGTGAGAGTGACCAGAGTATGGCAACCACTCAATATGAAAGCCCATTAAGGTCTCTGTCACAGTAAATCAATATAGAAAAAATATGAAATGCTAAATCTGAGCAGTCCTAAAGCTAAAAGCTGCCTTCAGTGCATATGTTATTTGGGGAATGGAAATATACATCACCTTTTCATCTCTCCTCCAACAGTTCTCATATTTCTGCCAGCACAGATACCAGCCATGAGGCACTTCCAGTCTAGCATCAGCTCACCTGTTCCAGAAGACGGGTTTGCTCGTTTAGCCTGGCCTCCATCTTAGAAATAACCTCTTGTAGCCGGCCTCGTTCATCTTCCATGTCTCTCTGCTGCCGGTTCAAACGGTCTTGCAGAACTTTCAGATTGGGACAAGGAAAGAATTATCACTTTTTTGCAGCTGCCAGGGGTGGTAGGCAAAGCTCTTTTTTTGGTCAAATTCAAAATCCCACTGTTCATGACCCAGGACACCTGCACTGATTTTCAAGAAAGCTGCCATGATCACCTGTGGAGGTGAGGCATTTCTAGACAGGAGTTCCTATCCTATCCTATCCTATCCTATCCTATCCTATCCTATCCTATCCTATCCTATCCTATCCATCGCAACACATCACACAAT